GATGAGGTAAGAGGAACGCTGCTTTGAAAAAAAACCTCTCTCACTTGAGAAGACATGGTGAGGGGACGGGGCAGAGACAAGGACCATGGAGCAGTGTGGGTGTCCACGGCAGCAGCGAGGCAGGTGGTGAGTCTGGGTGGTGCCACAGGACCTCTGGACAAAGGGCTGTAAATTGAGGCAGGAAGGGAAGAACCAGAGAGGGTGCTGATTGGCAGCCTCAAGGGCATATGAGAGCTGGGGGGGCTGCAGGCTGTGAAGCCCGGATTGGACCTGGCTTCCCCATGCAAGTGGTGCTGTGGGGTCCTTTGGGTCAAGTGGCGCTCACCAGCGGGGAGGGCCGGGATGGGGTGCAGGGAGCGGAGACCCTGGCGGGAGCAGCTCGGGAACCTCAGGAGAGAAGGGAGCAGAGGAACTGGGGCAGCACACAGAGTCCCCTTCCCCAGAGTCAGTGGGTAGTGTGCAGGGGCCCAGCAAGGGGACAGTCCGACCTGGTCATGGCCAGCGTCATGCCCGCAGGTGACCCTGGTGGGTAAATCCAGTCATGAAAAACAGCACATGCCCTGTGCCAGCCACTCCCGGCCTGTTGCTTAGTGGATGCTGGACATGGCTTTTGAGGACTGGCAGGGCCACCTTTGTCTTTCTTGGACCATAAACCCCTTCCTCTGCCTTGGTGTGTGGGGATCCCCACCTTGCTGCTGATGTCTCTGGCACGGTGCACTCTGCGTGGCCCTGCAGGTGTCCACCTCTTTCTCTGGCTTCCCAGCCTCTATAGCTTTATTCACCAAGGCTGAGACAAGAGGGTCAGAGGTGGGAGGAGATAACTAAAGAGAATGTGGAGTCACAGGAGGACATGCTTTAAGGTGGGAAGCAGTAACAGCTGCCTCAGGCCCACTAGAGCAGTCAGGTGGCGACCTAGGCAGAGGACAGGGGTATACACGGCTCCAGTGCAGCCCTGGAGGTGAGCAGTGGGGGCTCAGTTATCCTCAGATCAGATGTGGACCTGCTACCCAGGTAACAGGCGCAGGGGGTGCCTTGTGGGTTCCACTGCAGGTAGCTGGGTGGGGCTGGTAGGAGGGATGTGTACAGAGCAGAAGGCAAATTATTGTTCATCCTTCAGAAGAGACAAAGACAAAACAGTTCATCACATAGGCTGGGAGGGTGCAGCTTGGGCACCATATCTGGGCCCCAGCTGTTAGGAGTCCTTCGTAGAAAGTAAAGCGCCACATTGAGCTTCATCCCTAGCCACCATGATCTGGTTACTCCGGCCAGCGCTGGGTTGCTGCCAAACATGCCATTCACCCCCATATTTACAACTTCCCCGTGGGAAGCAGCCCGGGTGACATTGCTGTGATCGAAGGTGTTCATCACTCAGGTCAGAACAGGGAGAGCCCAGACCTGAGCCCCAGTGCCCCCCGCCTGGGCTGTCAGCTGGCCTCCTAAAGGCAGGCTCGGAGCCCCATTCCAAGCTAGAACCCAGACCGCCACGTCCATCCATCCACATGTTTCCCACAGGGCAGACTAGTTCGTCATTGCGCATTCCCAACCCTGGCTTTTAACCCAGTTTGGTTTTGAATTTGTCTCAGAGGCCCAAGGAGGTGTCCTTGAGAAACTCCGTGATGCTATCGACATCCTGGAAGTCCTTGGGGCTCTGCGGCCACCGTGAGGGCCCAAGGGGACAGCGCCATCGGTAGACAATCTCATTATAAACCCAGACTCTCTCGCAGAAAGGCGGCCCCACAGGCAGCATCCTTACCATGCAAGACCCCCACGCACTGGGCTGGGAAAGGCTCCGTGGTGGCGTGTGCTTGTGTCGCAGTGCGGGAACCCGGGTCCGGGGCCCAGCTACGACTTTCCATCACCAGTGACATTAGAGCCAGACAAAGGCTCCGCTCACACTGGGGGACAAGGGGACAGGAGAACTCGAAACCCCAAGTCCTGCTCGCCCTCTTTCTTCAAACTGCTCTTTTTGTACCTGTTCCTGGGTGGCACCTGTGGGCTGTGGCCCAGCCAAGTGACAGGACCCGCTGCTCCATCCTACTGTTGTTGTAGGACTGCAGAGCCTGGAGAAAAGAGCAACCCATTCTCCGGGATTCCCCGGCGACTCTCAGAAAGCAAAAGAAGCTCTGCGTCTGGCCCGCTTCCTTCCCACACGCCCCCTGGCGGCGCCCCGTGGAACCACACGCTCGGGCCGGGCAGAGCCGAGCGCGCTCGCGTTCCGTCTCTGCGTTCTCTGATCTTCACCGTCAGCTCCGCCAGGCGCTGCAGAGGCTGAGCCCGGCGTCTGGGTTTACGGTGCAGTAACGGAGACCCTGCCTGCAGGCAGAGCTGATTGGCAGTGCGTCAGGGCTCGAGCCTACGGCCCTGATGAGGCCTCCTGGGCACTTAGCCCCCACTTCCTCCGTGCCGGAACGGGCTGCTCTCGGGTGGCGCAGACCGAAGGCCTGACTCCCCCGGCAGCTCCCCAGGCTGGCAGGTGGGTTCCAGGCCCGGGCACGGGGGCGCACAGGGCAAGACGAGGTGCGGTGAGGCCGCCCGCGGAGTACTGCACCCTCGGAGCGGCAGCTCAGGCGGAGAGCAACTCGGCAGCGACTGGGACACTTTGGAAGCCTAGAAGAGAAGCGGGGGCACGGCAGGGGGCGCTGTCCGCAGCGGTGGAGAAGGCTGCTCAGCGCGTGGGGCGGCGGGGACGGTGTCCCTTCACGCCTGCGGGTGGCGCGGGCGGGCCAGGCTGTCACCTGCGCACGTGCACTCACGTGCCGGAGCCCAAGGTGCGCCCGGAGCCTGTGAGCTACCGCACGTTAGTTATACTGGAATAAAGCTTAACTCGGCCTGGATGTGAACTACAGTACTGAGTCGCTGGTAAAGAGCAAGCTTAATACGACCAGGAGAAATACTCGGGCTGTTAGCTTTGTGACGATGCAGTCAAGCTCCCGGGTCGATCACGTTTAGAAAGGGAAAAGTTTCTGGCGCCCGGATCCACCAGCCCAGATCCCGGCAAGCGGGCACGCGTGAGCA